TAAACTCCAGGGCATCTTTCCCCCTCCCTGGAATTCAGTGCATCATTGTATTATCAGGCGCAAGTCAGATTAGCCTTATGTACATGAGGAACGTGAGAGAATGACTGTAAAGTGTTCAAGGTAGCACATGTGCTTCATGCCTATTATTTTCCTGTAATCAAACATCACATACTCAAAATGTCTCTTTTTAACAGTGTGCTGCCTTGACATCTTGTAATTATAATATTTATAATATTATTATTAATGATCACGAAAAACAAAATATTATCATTGAAAATCCTGTAATTACCCACCAAGATCTGCTCCACATTTTGATTTCCAATTAAAATATTTATAAACCAAAAAAGATATTACACTATATCAATACAAGTAAAAAATAGTACCTCTGGTTAGTTATTAACACGTTTTCTTTAGGAGAACCAAACAACAACACTCACATTTTGTCACCTTGGACTCTGTCAAAAAATAAATTGTTTTTCCAAGAAAAAAAAAATCAATTCGCATCTGTCCTACCAAAAAAAAAAAACCAATAGGATAATAATTAGTGTATGCATCAATTGTATCACAAAACTTTTTTAAAAAAAAATGTACAAAACACAACCAAACAAAAGAAACAAACAAGATGAGTATGGTGCGAAGAAGGGGTAAGTATTTTAAGGATGATGGTGGTGGTTATTGCCCACCACCTGTCGTCATCACTCTAGTTTATTGTAAGAATGGTTGCATGGAATTCTAATTTTAAAACAATTTGAAAATGATTCTATTATTGATGATGGTAGGAATGCATTTGTAGATGATGAAATCAACAAGGAAACTGATGATTCTCAATATGATATTAGGAAAGACAAAACAAAAAAAAATAATGATGATGATAAGGTAAAAACATTAAGCTTATTGAAAACACCAATACATGTGGCTGTTGCAACTGAACAAAAACTTGTCACAGTAATAACTATTCTTTCAGATCATGTTATTACTATTGTTATCTGATAAATAATTTGATTTTTGCAAATTAATTTTTAAATAGGATAAGTCAACTGAAGATGAATCAAGTTTTATATCACCATTATCAATTTCAAAAAAGGTCAAGATAATGATAAAGTTTTATGTTGCCTTGAATTTGCAGTGAGCATTTTTTTTAATAACCTCTTATTATTCACATCAACAACAGTCAACTGAAGATGAAGATAAAAAAATAGATGTACCTATCATGCCAATCACAATATCTGAAAGTTCTGCCTCAAGTTCTACTATCACTTCAATTAATACTAATGAAATCGTGAATGATGTAGTGGTTAATAATTCGGTAAGTTTATTTTGATTTAAATTTATCAAATAGAGTTTCAAAGTAATTTTTATTGTGTTGTTTTGCAGATAAAAAACTTACTAAGTTCAGGAGAAGACTTAGAAACAATCTATCAAAAAGTTTTACAATGTTTATCATTAAGTAACATTAGAGTTCAGTAAGTCTGTTAACACACATAATATTACCATAATTATTTGATATATAATTAATGTTTTGCTATACTTGATAGATCCATTGAATCAAGGATTAACGACCTAACTAATTGGAAATATACAGATTGGACAAGAATTTTGAAGACCGAGGACAGAGATATGCTGACTCGCACTTTTCAGAAAAAAATATTAAAAAATTCAATAGATAACAATGTATTAAAAATTATAAATGATAGTGGGCTAGTACTGGTACAAGTAACTCTCATGTTTACAGAAGTTATATTATGATAAAAGTTGACTAATATTGTCTATGTTATAGAAAAATTTAAAAAATTTAGAAGAGTTAAAGTCTAAGCTAGCACAAATTGTAGACTCTGAAGATGCAGTTTTGACCTCATTGATCCTAGATTTTTTGTAAGATTTGTATTAAGTGTTGATTTTACCTTAAGAATAATGCTAATGGTTGTCTATGGTATTTTTTTTCTATAGTCATAAGAATTTTCGATGTGAAATTAATCATTTGTCAATGCCTTTACATGAAAGAGACTACACCTCAAGAATAATACTTTCTTGATGACTGATTTACTTGAGGAATTTGGCAGCATGTTTGAAGTCTTTGGGTATATTATTTTTGAGTCACTTATAGAGGTTGAATGTTTGTGAAAATTTTATCATGTTTTCAAATTTTATCAAATATTTTAGGATTGAAAAAATCTCTGAATCAACAAATGCAAGAAAGAGACGAAAAATCCACCCTGAGTACACTTTATTTGGAAATAGTTCAATGAAATTAGATATGATTGTTGAACTCTGACATTATAATGTAGAAATTTTGGCATTAGAAGCAGGAAATACCAAAATGTCACATGATGATATAAAAGCATCTGAAGACCATACTGGACTTAAAATAGAACTGAAGGATATATTGGACAATTTATGTGATGTGTTACATTTAAAAAAGGAAGATTTTGAGAATATCTTTGTGGTTGGATACAAGTAAATCATACGTAATGTGCAAATTTTTTTTTTGAAATTCTTTTAAGTGGACTTTTTTCACTTTTATCTAATGAAATTGGCAGGTTACCGGTGGGTGGTATATTCGATGATTTATCATTCACCAACAAATTTCTATTATTTTAATGAGATGACAACATTGGTGTTTCCCAAAACTAGGGTTTTTATTCATGAATATCATGAATATCATTAAGGGGGTTACACACTATTAAAACAGCAAAAAATCCCTTAAAAACATGAGTTGATCACTTGATTTTAATAGTGTGTGACCCTGTGTGACCCCTTATGATATTCATGAATACAAACCCTACCCAAAACTCTTTCAGAAATGAATGACCTTCTAATAGATTTTATTAGAGGCTTGCTCAGACTTCGCGTATGTACTTCCTTTACTATTAACATAACTGTTTGGATTTGTATATTTTCTAAGCATAATATTTGCATCTTTTTTTCCTTATAGCATACTTTATTATGGCTTGATAATAAATTAATTCAATTAACGAAACAAAGATATTCAACACCATCACCAGCATCATCACCTCTGTCAGAAACATCTGATACACCTGAAGTTAAACAAGTTAAAAACAATATTTTTGCTATATTAGATAATTTATATTAATAATATATAAAAATTCAAATGATTTACGAATTGCCATTCTAGTAACTGTAGTAGCACATGAACAATCATTATTTTATTACACACAAGAGCTTTCCTCAATTCAAAATCATTTGTTGTTTAATCAAAGTTTTAAAACAAAACTTGATGTAATATAAATGATATATAATTAGATTGGAAAATTAGAGAGTCTGTCAAAAAATTCACATTAAAAAATAAATAAACTATGAATGAAACCAACTTTAATGAATTTTTTATTATTATGTGTATGGAATGTATTAATAAATATAAAATAATAACATGGCACCTTTTTATAATAGCCAACAAAACAATCAACTAACTAATCAATTTAAGATTCATCTCCCAAAATGTCTTTAGCAATCATTGTGGCAGCGATAGGATGATAAAATGATCAATTTTCAAAAAAAAAGTTTTCTTTGTACATTTTTAGCTCTGTTTAATAATCTAAAATTTATTTTTTTTTTTTTTTTAAATCAACCAATTAATGTTCAGTTTTTACCTCACCCTTTCTTCTGAAAAAAAAAGGGACATTTATGGATTTATTACAATACAAAAGAGACTCAATTAGTCCTTATCTATATAATTTACAATGTATTTCATTATTCCTTGTTCATATACAAATTTACAATGTGTGGATAGACAGGTTTGTAACTTGCTTTTAGACATAAAGTATGCCATTTAAATCTTATTTCACTATTACGAATTTCGGTAAAAAATCGGTTGCTGTTAATACTGCATGTGGGAATGGTTGATAGTTCTAAAAATATGACTAATTTGTTGTAGTTGTTGTTTTGTGAGGATGATGTGAATTCGAGGGTTCGGAAAAGAAAGGAAACAATAGTTAATTGACCAATCATTCATTCATTACCTTTTGGATTGGGAATAAATGATTAGATATCTTTTGGTGAAAACATTTCAAAATTGTCATCATCTCTAGCAACATCCCATCTTTAATATGTATATATATTTATTGACATTAGAAAAAATTTTTTTTTTACATGGTTTATTTCTTGCTAAAATATAATAGATATGTATATATATTTATCTTTGTGCCAATTCACTACATGCTTTTGCAAGAATTTCATCAGTCATTTTTATAAGAGGCTTTTTTTTCAAAATAATAATAATGATAAAATATTATTGTTATTATTATTATATCATCACCATTGAATTAAAACTGATCTAAAAATCAAACATCAAGAAATAATTACCATTCCCGAAGCATATAACCAACTATTCCAATTGATCAAATCCAATTTAACTTTCCATGATTGGTTTCCATGTATGAATATAGAAATCCTTCACATCCTGCTTGGTGGTCGATTTATCAGTGAATTTTTCCATATGAGCTTTCATGTATGGTTTGAATATGGACAGTCCTCGAATGATTTCTTGATGTAATAAAGAAATTGAATCCTTTTTCATAAGGAACTTTAGAGGAACAATCATCCGGATTTGTTCCTTTCAGATTGGTTACCAAAGCAGCCAACAGATTGTTGGAACTGAAAAATTCTATGTCCTGACATAAATCTTTCCAGCCATGATCACAAGAAATTTGCTATGTTTTTCATCAAATGAATATTCTTTTAAAAATGAAATAAAGATAAAATAGTAAATAAATATATTCAATTAATAACTAATAATTATTATTATCATTTCAATTCATAAACAATTAAAAATATATATATATGGTGCAGAGACCTCCTAAATTTTGTACAAACTTTAAAAGTATAGAACTCAAGAAACTACCTTATATTTAAAAAAATTAACTCTGTTGATAGATAAAGTCTTTAACTTTAATATAATAGAGGAATTTAAAAAAAAAATGTTCCAGCAGCTCTTGAATAAATGTCTTTAGAACAAATCAGAAAATATGCAAGGCATTCTTGGTAATTCACTGATGCATATAATAAGGATTGACTGGACCTCATGCCTTTATATATAGTTAAAATCACATCAATGTATTCCTCAAAATTTAGATATTAATGAATAAATTTAATTGATGATTCGTCTATGAATCAGTGAAATGTCAATCCTTTTATTACTAAAAAATGGAGAAAATATCTTCTACAGTACAGGACACCTAGTCCCTACAACTTTTATTGGCCTTGCAGATACTTTAACTCCTCCAAAAATGGAAATGCATGACCAAAAAACAAGATGTCATTTTGAAGCTAAGGGCATTTGCAACAAGATAATGATCCTAAGCACACTTCACATGTTGCAAAAAACTTTTTATCCCAAATAATATTCATGTTTTAGACTGGCCATCCAACAGTCCTGATCTGAAGCCCATTGAAAATATGTGGCAGATCGTAAAAAATAATGCAGAAAGAAGAATGCCAGGAAATACTAGTGAATTGAAACAATTTATGGTTGAAGAATCCCCCAAGAAACTGTACAAAATTTAATTAAATCTATGAAAAATCGTTGTGAATTAATATTACAAAAAAATGGAGATAGAATTTCTTATTAATTTTTTTACATCTAATAAAATAAATAATGGGCTTTCAAATGAATCTATTTTTATCTAATTTCAATGCGATTGTTGAGATGTATGTTTTTATTTATGCACAATTTTTTTCACAACACACTGTAACACACTATTTACCTTATTACGAATTTTTGCATAGTTAGATAGTAAAACTATTGCAAATTGTGTCAAATCCCCCCCCCCCCCCCTGATGATTGATGGTCTGGCAAACCTTTAATCATTAGTTGGGATGCCTTTTTCTTTTACTGTGATTATTTGTAGGGACACCTCAAGTAGCATAGTTGTATATATTTCTTTATTTCTTGTATATATTATATTGGAATTATCATGTGCAGCTGGGAGAAAACAAGAGACACTCAACCAGAAATCATCTGAAAATAAATTGTGTGCAGCTGGGAGTAAACAAGAGACACTCTGCCAGAAAATTAGTCAGCAAATAATAGCTGGTAAGCAGCTTTTATAATTGGTATAAGCTGGTGGCAGCTTATTTGGAAATCTAGCTAGTAAGTCAAGATCTTGGAAACCTTCTATTGGTGGCAATAGAAAACACCTATATATTATTGAAACATATATCTATATTATTGGACAAGAGCAAATTAGTGCTTTAGAAAAGCCTATTTTAGCAAACACTCAGATTGCACACTTGCAATATAAATGGGACAATTTTTCCATAACACCAATGTAGAAACATTCTTTTAATAAAATAGACTATATTAATATAAAACTCTGCACTTGACAACCTTCACAAAACACATGACCCACCAATTTTTATTGCATTTTTGATTGTAAATTTTTTCTCAAATCTGATGCTATGGCACAGAAAGTTCTAGGGACTAGGTGCTGTGAGCATGCAATCTGAGTTATTTATTAATACTTAGTTATTATGCTTGTAACCCACCAGACCTTGTTCTAGTGACTCCGATTAGCTGTTTTCTTGGACACACAGTCCCAGGTAATAAGAGATTTCCAATATAGTACACTTAAGGCCCAGTCCAATACTCCTTGATATTCCTCTGACGCTTAAGTCCTCTAACCTATAAATATCTGACTTCAAATCAGATAACCCAAGGCTTTTGTAAATTTTAAACACTATCAGATTCCAAATCTATAGTGACCTTACTAGATTCCAAATCTTAGCTAAGGCTTTTCCAATAGTTACTTAGGTTCCTAGCTAGCAATTAATTCACACTGAGTTTCTGTCCAATATTCCCCAAAGGCATCCCCTTGGTAATATTTATAACAATTAATGTTACCAAAGTATTGCCTTACAGTATAGAGCAAGTTTATTAATTAATCAAAGGTCCAGATAATTTGTGTAAAAGTGTTATGAGTTTTATTAGTGATAATATTTATGTAGTTACAATATTATTATGTTAT